TCTTTTCTTGTTTATTTTCATGATTATCCTTTTTGTTTATTTTCGTGATTATCTTTTTGTTTATTTTCGTGACTGTCCTCGTGAGCTAGATATGGGACGGATTATAGCAGATACGCTTAGAAAAGTAGTTTATATCAAGTTGTTGTTAAGAATAGCTGTGTTTAGATATGAGGCGATATGAGAGAGAGAGAGAGAGAGAGAGAGAGAGAGAGAGAGAGAGAGAGAGAGAGAGAGAGAGAGAGAGAGAGAGAGAGAGAGAGAGAGAGAGAGAGAGAAAGAGAGGTATTGATGAAACGATATTTGGCAATTATAATAATGTGATTTTAATATTACTGATAATCATGATTAGTGTAACCGGTTATGGTGAGCCTTAATAACATGAACCATTAAGAATTACAGTAAATCCCATTATAATGGTAAAAGGTAGTAAATCGGAAAAAAATAAATATTACCCATTAACGCTGCCAAATTGATCATATTTTCACATGATTGAAGGATAGAAAAATATATATAAAAAAACAGCAAACGACGGCCATGTTCTGCTGAGCTGTTGATGATGAAAATTCTTTTAAAGAATTGCCCAATTAAGCGTGTTTCGGCAACATCAAAGTTCGTCTCGGTTTCCAACTAGATTAAACGATAGTGGATTTTTTTGACACCCATGAACATTCACACTCCGGACAGCCATTGCGAAATCATCATTAGAAGTCAAAATCATGAAAACGGAACACACTTCATGATTCTGGCGCAAGAAATTAAAGTTTACTGCGACCAAGGAACTGCTATGATAAATTCGCTTCGCCGCTGGTGCTTTCTGACCATTGCTATGTGTCTGTTCCCCACTGATTCACTGTAAGGAATAAAAAAAACAACATGAAAGAACGACAATGAAGCGCGTCCTAATCTCATTTACCGCGCACACGCATCCCGAGACAAACCCATACACACATACATATAAACATAAATGCACACACACACACACACACACACACACACACACACACACACACACACACACACACACACACACACACACACACACACACACACACACACAAACACACACACACAAACACACACACACAAACACAAAACACACACACACACACACACACACACACACACACACACACACACACACACACAACACACACACACACACACACACAACACACGCACATTCATACATATGTGTGTGCCCTTATACCCTGAGTTCGCGCTTATTACCCCCGCCTTACATGGCATCGTACCGTCAAGCTCCCTCTCGCCGCTCGTTCCCGCTGGGGTCGGATTCCCTTCGCCCGATTTCATCTCACTCACGTCTCTCTGAATGCCGTCCTTCTGCCTCGATGTCAGCGCGTCCTTCCCTGCGCCGACGTCTGCGTCCGTCTTATATCAGGCTTGGCAGTTTAATGCTCTCTGGTTCCTTGGCTGACAGTATGTGTACTGTACTGTACACACATGCACATCTATAAAGCTTACATACGTTTATATATATATATATATATATATATATATATATATATATATATATATATATATATATATGTATGTATGTATGTGTGTATGTATGTATGTATGTATGTGTATATATATATATATATATATATATATATATATATATATATATATATATATATATATTATGTATGTATATAATATATATATATATATATATATATATATATATATATATATATATATATATATATATATATATATATATATATATATATGTATGTATGTATGTATATGCATACACACACACATATACCCACACATATACACACACGTATACACACTCAAATACATAAACGTACACCCACAAACACACACACACAGACGTTACATGCCAGGTAGCATTAGTGGACGTGTAACCATGAAATCACAGGAAAATGAAGTTGTTAGGAAAAGACTGTTGCAGATACAACTTTGATTCAGAAATAGATTTCCTTCCGTTGATAAATACATGTATTGATATTTATTCATAGTCTAAAAAACGCAGAAGCATGAGCAACTTCCTGGGGCTTCTGAATGCGTCAAGCATTAATTTACATATAAACGTCTGCGGCAAACTTAGTATTTATAGTTTATTTATTCAACTTAATGCTCAGGGTGATGTGAAACGATGGTGTGGTAGCCTAAATAGTGTTAAGTGCTTTGAATGCGTTCTCGCTTGCAGCTGCCACCGCTGGCTAGCCTGTTGCGAAAAGGATGCAGCTGTCCATAAGTCTCCCTTACCAGCTCATAGCCTCTCCATCATCAAGACTCCTGCAGTGCCTCCTCGTGGCCACTCATGGAAACTACGTACCTTGCGGTCCCAGGCTGAACTATGGAGGCTCTTAGAGCAGCAGGAGACTCTAAAGGAGTCGCGGTCCACCGACGTGTGGACACGCCCTGGCTTCGAACTTACTCCTGCCTCCGTGACCCCTGGGGTTCATGGATGGTTGTAGGGAGGCAGGCTTTGCCAGTCCACCTCCCCAAGAGAATCCAACTGGCAATGAATCATATAGATGCTGGTGCTTGAGGGGCAAACGTCTCTCCCAACCAGCAAGTAAAGCAGGCTGTGGGTCCCACTGGGTTGGCGATCACTGAGATTCGGACTGGGAGCTGGGGTTACCCGTCCCGTCCGCGTCCCAGTGGCAAAGCCCACGGGACCCCCACAGGTGCATTATGGGACCTGCAGCCAGCCAGCCCTCGCTATATGGGGCAATGTCGGCGGGGGTGTCAGAGGTGGCATCCACCCAGAGTGACTGCCCGAGGCTAAACCTCAGTTTGCAGATGATAGAAGTTACAGATGCTTGTCGAGTGGCTTGTCTGGCAAGGGATTGTGTGACTTGCATCATTCTCTGGTGTGCAGGACTTGGTCACTCCTGAGAAGGGACAAAGAACAGTTTGTTAGGAGGAAACTGCAAGATCCTGTTGCAGTGCGGGAGCGTTGGGATGAGTATTTTGAGCAGTTGTACCAGGATGATCCACCAACAATTACCTTGGATGCAGGTAGTGTCGAGATTCCTTTGTCGGACCCACCCATCCGTGAGGATTCATCCTTCTTAACTGGAGTTAGGGGGTAATCTCCAAGCAGGTATGTGCAACATCCCAGCTGAACTGTTAAAGCCTTGAGGTGAACCTATGACAATGGGTTTGCATTATGTCCTGGCTGCCATCTGGCAGACTGGTACCATTCCCCCTGACCTGTTGAGGGGTGTGGTTATCCTTCCCTGGAAGAGGAAAGGGGATCATTGGGGTTGCAATAGTTGCTGAGGCATTACACTGCTCAGTATGCCAGGTAAGGTTCTCCCTCACATCCTTTTGAGACGTATCAGAGACCACCAGGGGCCGGAGCAATCTGGATTTATTCCTGGTAAATCCACAATAGACCATATCCTGGTGTTTCAAGTAATTGTAGAAAGCCTTTGTGAATTTGGGTGTGGGTTGCATGCAACTTACATGGAATTGTAGTGTACCTCTATATTGCAACATGACAACTATGACCTTCGGACAGGGAGGCAGTTTTGTGGAATGGTAGCAAGGCGTGTTATACAGCACAGCCCTCTCGTCACGATCCTGAAACTCTTTCATAAGTATGTGTTTTCTTTATTTATAAAATTTTCCAGTCATTCAGAGTCACATTATTTCATTATTCATATCTACTTTAATTCAATTATCCTTTTTCTCTTGTATCTACCATGTTGAGAGTGTCCATACTTCTTTAAAAGTGATTAAAATAAATAAAACAATAACAAGTAAAAGAACAAAGCCAAGGATAAAACGAAACCAAAACATTAAAAGGAAAACCTAAGATCCCTCAGTATATATATTCTCAAAATTTACAATACACATAACACATCCTCAATAGCCTCTTGTAAACAATGAAAATATACTTCTCTCTCTCTTGTACTCAAAAACAACCCTAAAGAGGCGACCAGTGAGGCCGGGCGCTCCATAACCACTGCTGATCAGACGAGCTCAGCAACCCAAGAGAGAGTTTGGCGGCAAGACTTTAGTTTATATATCCTTGTTTGTCTTGTCGTAAGAATACTTTCAGGTAAAATAACTAAAAATGAAAAAATAAAAATAGATAAAGTCATTTGATCATTACAAGAAATTGAAAATCAATACTTGAGGCCATAAAAGAAAGTTAAAAAGGTGCAAGGTAAAACAGATGAAATAGATAAAAAAATAAAACTCCAGGGATGAAGAGGTCGCAGGTGGCTGCTAAGAATGCCCACAGACGGTGCTGAGCTAGTGCTTCTGCTGTCAAGACTCTCCTAGTCTGGACTCATAATGGGGGTACCTTACGTCCACTACAGAAGTCAAGAAGGCGTTTGATACAGTGCATCGTGAATTACTTTGGGAAATCGTCAGACTAAGAGGAATCCCAACAAGGATTACTGGATTAATAACACGCCTGCATACTGGTACTGAAAGTGCTGTAAAGTGTGGTGGGGACCTGTCGAGCTTCATCCCTGTTAGTTCTGGAGTGAGGCAAGGCTGTGTTCTTGTACCTGCACCTTTCAACACTTGTATGGCCTGGACAGTGGGCAGAGCTACTGCCTAAAGTCATTGTGGAGTAACTCTTTAGTGACGATGTTGCTATTTTAAACGAGTTCTGGAAACCCTAGTGGTGGCTCTAGATGTATTCAGCAATGAAGTGAAGCCTTTGAGTCTACAGAACTTGGAGCAAGACCAAGATCCAGGACTTTGGAGGCCTGCTCAGAGAACCTGTTCAGTCGGTACGCGATTGCAGTGAGGACACTGAAGTCACAGAGAGCTTTACATACTTTGGTAGTGTAGTTCATGACTCTGGGCTGTCATACCAGGAAGTCAGCAGTAAGACTGGCTTGGCAGCAGGGGCCATGAACTCTCGGCAAAAGTATTTGGAGATGCTGGCACCTGTGCAGAAGGATCAAGCTTCATGTCTTCAAGGCTTGATACTGCCAGTTTTACTATATGGTAATGAAGCCTGGACATTATGGTGCCTTAGAATCTCGTCTTGA